GGGGGGGCGAACAAGAGACAAAGATAAATATGGTTAGTGTGGCTCAAAGCGAGCGAGAGCGAGGGAGAGAGGAAGAGAGAGAGCGCTAGCTTCACATTTGAAATTCTCGCTTGCTGTGTGTGAGGACCATCCACTCCGCTCTGGCCCACCTCCGGCCCACCTCCGGCCACCGCTCTGCTTGCTCCGTTGGCTCCGCTGTGCCAACATGCTCGCCGAGCCCCCGGGAGGTGGGCACTCCCGCGGCGGCCCGGGGTCGCGCCGGGCTGCCTACCCGCTCTCCGTCGGGCTGACCGTGGAGGGCGCTGCCCTGTTACCGTGCCTATACACCATCTCCTAGAGAGACTGTGTTAGCCTCCAGAGACACCACAAGAATGCAGCGCGACTGTAAGCCTCCAGAGAGACTGTTGAAAGCCTCCAGAAAGACTACAAACCTCCAGAGAGAGATTGTAGGTGTAGGCCCCTGTAAGAGTCTGTAAGCCTCCAGAGAGAGACTGCTGTTAGCCTCCAGGAAGACTGCAAACTCCAGAGAGAGATTGTAAGCCCCTGCAAGAGTCTGTAAGCCTGCAGAGAGACTGTAGGGTGTAGGTCTGTAAAGCCTCCAGTCTCTGTCGCGCTGAGCGTGGAGGGCGCTGCCCCATCCGGGGAGGCCCCGCTGCGCTGGCTGCGCGCGCTGCGTGGCGCCGGCACGTGTCACGAGACTATCGCTATCGACAGCGGCAGGGGATTAGAGAAACGCAGGCCAGCAGCTGCAGGGCGTTAGGCTGATTAAACACTGGCGGCCCGCAACATTGTGTGTTTGAAGTACCGGCGCGGAGGGCGTGGCGCTCGCGGCCCGCGGCTCGGCCCACACACGCGCGGGTCCAAAGGGATGCCCGATTGTCCGGTGCGCCCGCCCGCCCGCGCGCCTCGCTCCTCACTCTAGCAAATGAATGATGAGATAGCGGCCCGCCGGCCCCTCCGGGTCAGCAGCGGCGAACGCTCACTCGTATGACGTCGCCGATAATCCCTTTAAATCCGCCCAGAGAAAAATGAGCAGCGCGCGGCGCTGTCAAATATTTTTGTCGTTTTTCGAAAAACATATCGTTTCCTCGTGTTGCTTGCGCGTCGTGTAAAAGGGAATTGTGTACTGCGCAGGGCATATCTGTCGCGGGCGGGTGTAGCGTGCGGCGCCACAAAGGACTGACGATACGTCGTTGCAGCGGGTCGTTGGGTCGTGCGTCGCGCGACCGCGGCGCATATGTGTGGGTGTCAAGGGAAGAGGGAGAGGGGGGAGGGGGCTGCCACCGCGGCACCTGTGGTCTAATTGCTGCCGCCAACCCGGCGGCTCTCCCGCTGCCTTTGGCCTGGCATGGCCTTACGGCGCTTGTGCTGTCGAGGCACTAACTAGCGGCAGCAGCGAGCAAAATGACACGCCGCGGGAGGAGGAAAGCCGAGCGCGGGAGATAAAACTCTGCACATGCGGCAGACAGGCCCCCGGCGGCGCCCTTCTTGCATTATTTACTGCATTTACAGTTATGAGGCGTTTTGTTGTTTATCGGTCGGACGGGCCGACCGCACACTATCTGCTGTGCTGCAGGAGGACCTCACTTCTTATACCCTTCGCCGAAAACACCCGCCTCCTCTGACGGATCCCCCGCTCGGATCGAACAAACAACACGAGGAGATTGCGAGGTTCGCGCGAAAGGCGATTGCGGAAATCTGCATGCCACTGCTGCCCCGCTCGCGTCCTGCTAATCCCGCCGCCGGGGGGTTTGCACCCCCCCCCCCTTT